GTCTCAGTCAAAAAAGATGAATCCATGTCAATTTCTTGTCGGGCTGTTAAAGAATACAGACCCATCTTGACAAGGATTGTGATATAAAATTTCATACTGATACAGGCTGATAGTAGTCAAATATTGATGTTGTAATCCATACATTCTACAATCCATTCAAATAACATTTCGTTTCTCATTTGTTTGAGAGTAAACAAAAGATTACTGTTTTTGAATCCAGAGTGCTGTCAAAAGAACATTGTCAATGTGATTGTTAAGCGTTTTTCATGAACTTTTCCCCTGAACTTCACTACACTACACTGCAAAGTACCAGTAACACTGCGTGCCAAGAATATGACAGAATATGTTGATTATGTACAATCAAAGGGAAATTCACTGACACACTGATAACACATTATGTATTATTTTTTTTGTCAACCACCAGAAAAAAAGCTTTAAAAGTAAGCTTCAGAAGACAAAACAAGAGATAAAGAAACAATTATTTAAGGAAAAAAAAAGCATGATGCATAAACATTTAGCTAATTCATTTATGTTAGTTCTTAGAGTTACTTGTAAGTGCAAGTTTAACGAACATTTCTTAGTTAATAAGCAGCAAACAAGACAAACTCACCTCGTCGTTGATTCTCTGCTCTTTTGGTTCTTCTTCCTCATCATCGTCCAAGTTGTGCTGCTTGAGGAACTTAAGTAGACTCGGCGTACATCGCTTCTTAAAGGCCAGGTAGTCCATCATGATCTGGCCGTTTTGAAGGAAGAAAAGTTCTGTCAGTCTCTCGTTGTGTAACTCCTTGATCTGATTCAGTTCCTTGCTGTGGTGTTCCACCAATAGTTTCCGGTAGTGCGCCGCTTCTGGAGTTTGCGGCGGTTTTTCCTCCAGCCTTCTCAGGGACTGCTTTTTGACAGGGATGGGGCTAGTGTGAGGGCTGGTGGTAGTTCGAATCGGACTAGTCTGGCTGACCCCGGGGTTCATAACGTAGCCGCTAGCGATCGGACTTGTTCTGTTCATATCGTACGACGCTCTGGTCGGGCTGTACGAGGGTCTCCGCTGTTCGACTTGCCCCATCTGGCGCATGCCCATACCGGGCAGACCGTGTCCCAAACCGGTCGGGCTCGCGAGCGGCGGTATGTTACCCCTCGTGGGGCTCTGTCCGTGGTGGTGGATCGTACCACCCGTCTGCTGCTGCGGGGGGTAACCCATGGCCACCCGCTGCATCTCCTGCTCAGAATAAGTCTTTCTGAACTCCTGGAACATGAAGTGCCCGCTTCCCGAGGGGCTAACGCTCAGTTGTCGCATCGGCGAGTGCATTCCCTGCTGCATGCCTTGCTCCAATGGAAACCCACGCGTTGGGCTTAGCGGCATGCCCATAGGCCCCATCATCTGAGCTGTTGTCATCTGTGGGTTCCCGCGTTGTAGGTGCATCGGACTAGCCATGGACGGGGACGGCTGTTGCTGTTGCGGAGGCAGGCCTGTGGGAGATGGGCTTGACGCGGGAAGGAAGCCCGGCGAGCCCGCGGGGTCGAACCTCCGCGTAACCAGGGGCGACGTGGCGGGGCTCTGGAACGAGGGCGAAGTTGTCGGGCGGCTCATGGGCATGCTGAGCGTCGTCATGGGCAACCCCATCGTGTTCATGGGCACCTGGGGGGGGGGGATTGTAACGTTAGGACGAGTGTGTATCTCTGCAAAAGGTAGCCTCCTTCACAGACTTGGGCCCAATTTACATGAGGCGCAGACCAAATTATATTTTTTGCCCCGTGTAAATTGTGCCTTTATGTTGGAGAGTAGAAACTCTGCGGGATAACTCTGGCACATTGAACTTGGAGAGCATTAGCCCGTGTAAAAAACATTGCGTATTGGCGCTTTCAAAAAAATTCAATGCCAACACTGCAAAGAAGGCTACTGTGGTATCTTGAATTGTATTGTGAATTGTATTGTAACTTGTGAGTGCATGTTTAGTTGACTAAAATTTTAAGGCCGTGTTACGAATATAAATCAACATTATTACGGTAAGTAGTGCTTCAGTAGCCGCTAGTACGATATCATTCCAGCACATTGTAGTTGTAAGGACTAGTTAGTGTGTCATGAATGAAGATTTTGCATAAAACAAGACTAACCTGCATGTGACCCACGGGAGAGGGGCGTGTCGTCTGCCCCTGGGGCAGGGGGGACACCGGCCCCATCCCCTGTACAGCCCCGGGGTGGCTGTTGGCAGCCATCATGTAATGCTGGAGGGGGCTCTGCTGGTGCTGGAAGGAGGGGGACTGCGGCGGCAGTTGCTCGGGAGCCATATCTGGGGGGAAGCCGCCACCCCCGTCGCCTCCCCCCGGGACGTCCTGCGACTTGCCCCGCCGGAGCTGGCCCGACGCATCGGTCACACTTCCCCGCCGCATCGTCTGCCGAGTCGGGAGGGCGGGCGGTGTGCCCGATCCGAGCCGAGGGGACCCTGTGGCTCGCCCTGACAGCGAAAACAAGACGTCAAAATCACCAGAAAATTACCAGAAAGCGTGCTGAGGTTTTAAAATTGATGTTATTGACTAAATTGGGAAGTTTTGTGGGATTTTAAGGACGGAAAGGAGCGAGGGGGTGAATTTCATGCATTTCATGATTAGCGCCAAAGTCGACCACGCCAAGATGGCGGACACCTGCGACGGACGAAAATTGTCATTTTTCGTCAGAATTTGACGAAAAAGGTGTCAAACGATTCGTGACATGTGATTTTACGATGGAAATGTGGGCGAAAATTGTTTATTATTTTTCAGACGATTTTTGCGGCCCGTTCTTTGTTAGCCACAATGCATTGCGCGCCGCCATTTTCAAAAGGAAAAGCCGACACTTACCTCGATTTTCTATCCGCAGAAATCCATTTGTGATGATGCCATCCGCGGATAACTTCCCTCAATCCAATCGGAGAATACTCCGAAGATTTATTTTCTGGTGTTTTTTCGTGTTCTCAGGCAGTTTTAAGTGTCCAAAACACAACCATTTTCGGCGATTACTTCCGCCTAGCAAATCTGATGACAAAATGGCGGGTCTATCACTTTGCCGTGTTGCGCTTGCGCGCATAAATTAACCTCACTCTCACATTAGCTTCAGAACCGAACCCCGATGTAACGAGGCTCCTGATTGGACAACCGTCCTCTTCAATCCACAGCTCGCAGCGCCATCTGCCGATACCAAGTGGTAACGCAATGCGTTTTTTGTTTGATTCCTTTGTGATGTGACCTTTGTTTTCCTCGTAAATATTGAATAAAGACGTCATCGCGTTACCCTTTTCGGACAAAGGGCAACGGCAATCGGTGGCAACAATCTGTTGAAAACGTTTCCAAATGGAAAGGACACACCTAGCTACCAGCAAATTTCAATTTTAAGTTGCATTTCTGACTTGAAACCTAATGTCAACCCAATAAAGTAGCTTGCATGAGATGGCAAATTATAAAACAAAGTAATGCGAAAACTGAAGTTGAATTTTGGGCAATTTTCAACTTTTCATGATGCACTATTGGCAAAATTTTAAGGTTCCTTTGGTCGACAATTTCACAAAATGACAAAAAAAGTAAAATCTTGCACTTGTGATAGATTTGCTGCTCCACAAAATCCAAATCACCAATGTAACACATACAAGATCGGAAAATTGTAAAAGAAGTTGAAAATCTTCAATAACAGCGGTAAATTTAAGGGCACATCATCAGCATCAGTGCTAGATGTCAGGAGATATAATTGTTTTGACATTAAACAAAGCATTACTACCTGTAATTACATTGTAGTTCCTTCATACCATGGCAGCCAAATAGTGCTTTTATTAATGGGCATTTGATTGAATCAAGGAGGTTAAAAATCTTTAACCTCTTTGATTGAGTGAACCTTCTTGACTTCTTGTTCAATTTGACAAATTAATTGCCTTCAACTAAAACCTCAGCTTATTACTAGTATCTAGCATAACTGTTTCAGCAAGAAAACTGCAAATGTTACATTAATCCACCATACATGTCCAGTGTACCAAAATGGAGCCCTCACACTAAGAGAATGACAGGGAGGGGAAGTCCCTAGTGGTTTTGCAACTCTGTGCAGTGCACTACTGCCACCTAGTGAAATATGTATGAACAGCACCTTTTCACTGTCACTGTGGTGTGTGTGAGTGAAGAGTTATCACTATATTAAAAGAGACTTCACAAGGTAAAATAACATTACCAACTTGTTGAATAGATAATGGTTGAAAACGGAACTAGAATACAAATGTTTCTTGAGGCAAATAAAATACAGAAAAGTTCAAAATAATATGTACAATATTCATCACACAATCTCTCTGGTCCTAACTGGACACAGTTAACATTTACCATCAATATTGGTTGACTCCAAAGTCTGTCAGTAAATCCACTTTAATTTGTTAATAGATAGTAAAAAAATAAACTTCAGTTGTTATATCAAATGCATCAAAAGCCATAGAAAAGTACAGCGACCCCAGTGGAAATTGTAGTGTTGTAGAACCTTATAATATAAGCTGGGCCTTTGATGTGTGAAAGTTCCTGGTCATGTTTCTCTTTGTAGTCTTTCAATGAAGGTCTCGCTGGGCTGGAATATTAAAGAAAAAAGCCTTGTCAATAAAAAAATAATTTCTGAGTCAATATCAACTAATAAGACTATTAAAGAAAGTTTATCAGCACAATACAATTTCAGTTTCCATTATTGTATTTCTTCAGCTGTCTTGCTATGAATTTTAGTCAGTATGACAATTTTAGATTGTAATCAAAATACTGTAACTGTTCATGCAATGGTACAGAGCAGACTGGAAAAAGAAGTTAGACTTACCACTACTCTAGCACCAGGAAAATCCTCTTCCTCCTCCCTGTAACAGAAGATTCAAAGTGATCATATGTTGTTGTAGTACATGTAGGAGAAAGGCAAGTAGTACCATAGTTCTAGAAAGAAAATTATCATCATTTTTTTTAAACATGAGAAATTGCACCATTGAGCTATAGATGACCAACCTGAGTGGACTGTTATCATCAGCATCATCACCACCATCATCATCGTCATCACTGCTGATGTCATCATCAGCATCCCATGATTCCACATTGAAGTGCCTCTGTTGGAGCGCAGATACCTGTCTCAGGAAGCCCTTCACCATGGAGTGGTCATAATCACGGACGATGACGTCAGGCAAACCTTGTCTCCATCTGGCCTTGCAATTACTGGGTCTGGACAAAAGAGAAACTTCCATAATTGATTCATACTAACACTCACAAGACAGTGTAACGCTTATAAACAAATGAAACTGAAAGCTTGAAACGCCATGCAGACCTCTTTGACTTTGCATGTTTCCTTTTCCTAGGTACTCCTGACAAGTTGGACTGCAAGTGCAACTCCGTCTCACTTCTGGACCCGTCTTCACTCTCACTTCTCGCGGTTTCCTCCACCAGGCTTTCTTTTCTTCTTCTCTTCTTCTTGGGGGTAGTACTACTGGCACTGCTGCAGCTACTGCTAGGTTCTGGGTGACTTGGTTTGAAGTCTTTATCTGCTTTTTCTTGAGCTTCTTCTTCGCTTGAGTCGCTGGAAGAACCGCTGGGAATCTCGTAGATGGGCACAGGCGACGGAGATTTCTTTCTTGGTGATCTTTTAACTTCATGACTTGGTTTGAAGGAGTGACTTGGCTTGAAGTCCTTATCTGCTTTTTCTTGAGCTTCTTCTTCGCTTGAGTCGCTGGAAGAACCGCTGGGAATCGTGTAGACTGGTGCAGGCGAGGGGGATTTCTTTCTTGGTGATCTTCTTACTTCTGGGTGACTTGGATTGAAGGAGTGACTTGGTTTGAAGTCTTTATCCGCTTTTTCTTCAGCTTCTTCTTCGCTAGAGTCGCTGGAAGAAACGCTGGGAATGTTGTAGATGGGCGAGGGCGAGGGAGATTTCTTTCTTGGTGATCTTCTAACTTCATGACTTGGTTTGAAGGAGCGACTTGGTTTGAAGTCTTTATCTGATTTTTTGTGAGCTTCTTCTTCACTAGAGTCGCTGGAATTCGAACCGCTGGGAATTTTGTAGATGGGCGAGGGCGATTTCTTTCTTGGCGATCTTCTAACTTCCATACTTACCTGGTCTGGAATTTCTGCGTCTTGTCCACGATATAACATTTGGCATGAGAACTATTCAACTAGTCTGTTTTGTTGCTGCTGTCCTTGTTCAACGTCTGCCATTGTCAACAACTTGTTGTTGTTGTTGTTGATGTTGTCTCTGCTTAACGTCTATTTTTCCGCTAGACGTGGACTCCAAAGAAAGATTCTTTACCTCCATGTACAAGTTTCACCTTTGACCTATGAGAAGTTTGGAGCTTTCTTTGGCAAACAAAAATATGCCTGATAAAATTGTCCTTCATTTACCAGAAAAAACATAAGTTCTCACCTATTCTGTTAGTATCAAACAATTGATAAAATTTATTTAGTATTTTAATTTTACTAACATACAAAAACTGGAATGGTGATACATATCTTTGATACAATGCCTTTGACTGCTTAGGCTTAATGTAAAGAGTACATTGAACAGCTAAAGTCTCCGAAGCCCCCGTACATGTGCGTGCAGGCTAAAAACAGACGAAAATGTCTGCAGACGACGCGAAGTCGGACCCCAGAACCGTGGCGGCGGACATCAAACGGAAGGCTAAGGAGGTTCTACAGAGCAGAGAACACGCCAACAACATTACGGACATCCTGGAGACGGCACAGGTAAGTTTGATCGGGCGGATTTGGTGCTAAGGTGCCGGAGTTATGATGCCCCCCTCCCCACAAAGCTACTACTTGAGGATTACACTATGTATCTTTGCCTCTGTTAGCCTGGTACCATCCTATGGGTATTGTTCCCTTGTATTCTTGGCTACAATCTGTACTGTGTCCACACATTTTTCCTCACCCCATGTAGGTGTAAAATGGGTCCCTGACTTCGGTTGGGGAAGTAAAACTAAAAGGCAGTGGAAGAAGGATGGACACTGGCTTCCCATACCGTGTCCTAGAGTAGACACAGCAGTAAGATCAACAACCTACTGTCCCTTTGGCCTCAAAATCTTAATCTATAATGGTCAAGAAATGTTTCTCATTCTTTACAAGACCATAATCCGTCCTCACTTAGAGTACGGAGCCCCCATTTGGTCCCCACATACTTGGAAACTCGCTACAGAACTAGAGAAAGTACAGAAGCGAGCGACAAAAAGAGTACCAGGCCTGCAGGATCTTTCATACACAGATAGGCTCAAGAAACTAAAACTACCTACCCTGGTTTACAGGAGATTGAGGGGTGACATGATCAACGTCTATAAATATACACACGGGATGTACAATACAGCATGTCTACTACCAATAACAACAGAGAAGAGAACTAGAGGTCATCACCTGAAAATAAAGAGGACGCAGGCAAAAACAAATATGCGCCTACACTTCTTTACAAATAGAACGAGTACATGGAAACACACCCAGTCGTCTACAATTATAGAGCTTAACTAGACCACCCACTACGTCCAGAGATGTCAGTAAACTGAAGAGCGGCCCAAATTGGAGCAGGACTCCTACCCGGCATGAATCAACTCTACTCTACTCTACTCTATAACATAGCCTTTGAAGAGAGCAGATCTGCTTACAAAGTGTCCCTCACAGATTTTGAGGTGCAGAATGGTCAAGAGGCATCACTAGATGTTTTAATGAAAAATTTCTGATTTTTTTGTGCATCATGTTTCCCCAGTCATCTGAAGATGTGGTTGTGGCTGCCAGCCTCTCGGCACTACAGAAAATCTTCTGCACACTTCTGGGGAGGAAGGAGGTGTACAGGGGCAAGCTGAAGAGCTCCGATGGTACGGAACAGTTTGTTTGTTTGTTTGTTTCCATCGTATTGTTTATACAATCAACCACCTTCCAAGTGTATCACACTAGTTTTGTGCAATAACACTAGACTGATCATTATAAGGTTAACATGCATTTACCCAGGGTGCCAGAATGTTGCCAAGGTATACAAGCTAGTTTCTCATCAACAGAAGCTTGTGTATTATGCCGAAGGGCAGTTATACCGGCTATACTGATACAGATATCGGCTATACTGATACAGATACCGGCTATACAGATACAGATACTGGCTATACAGATACAGATACCGGCTATACAGATACAGATACTGGCTATACAGATACAGATACTGGCTATACAGATACAGATACTGGCTATACAGATACAGATACTGGCTATACAGATACAGATACTGGCTATACAGATACAGATACTGGCTATACAGATACAGAACAGGGTTTAACCTAGAGACTGACCTGTGTACGGGCCCTGACAACATTTTGGCATCCAGGCAAATATTACATGTCTGTAAATTACTCTTATGTAAGTTATCAAATTTGTACAAAATCAGGTATTAGTAAATAACTTTAGGAATGATTTTTCTCTAACTTTGTTCCCTCAGAAGAGCTAGCAGACCCAAAGCAGCAGTACAGCCGGTGGTTGGGACAGTGTTACATGGATGCACTGGACATTCTACTGGTACATCTGTCTACTCACAACAACTCAGACATAAAGGTAAGTATGGTACATTAGCACAATAGTATACTGTAGTTATGGTGTCGAATAGCTGACTTGTTAGGCACTGGTCAAAGGTTTGATTCCTTGAATTCCTGGCTAGACGTTGTGTCCTCAGAATTAGGCACTTCACACGACTTTCCTCACTTCACCCACTAAAATTGTTACTACTACTACTACTAGTACCTGACTTTGGTTGGGGAGGTAGAAGGTGGTGGAAAGAGAGGGATTGAGGTCTTTTGAAGTTTATTCCATTGTGTAAAAGTTAACCCTTGTTGTTTTCCCCTCCCCAGGAGCTTGCCCTGTTGGCTCTGTTGAAGTTGATATCAGCCGAGGGGAAACACCCGACATCCAAGTCTGGGGGAGACCAGTCCAACTTCCCTCTAAGGCTGTTCCAGGTTCATTGAGTTTGATTATATTTTACATCATTAGAGGTGCTCAATTATAATTCTTATGAATGCAATCCACCCTTCCATGAGGTTAACAGCACAGAGCCCTAGGCCCTAAACTCTAATTTGTGATTGCAAGACCCCTGAAGGTACTGTATGCCTACTCTCCAAGCAGAGGTTGAGTTGGTGTAAAAAAAATTCAGTGCAAAAAAGAAACCCTGATAAAAAAGCCTAAAAACAAAGCAAAAAATAAGCCAAAACCCAAACCTCTGCTTGGAGAGTACTGTATGCCTTGTAAACCAAAGATTATGGTGGTCTTCCTATTTATAACTTATTCAAACCATCGTAGCATTTGTGTTTTGGATAATTTACAGTAGCCAAGTTTGTTATTATATAATAGATAAAACTTGCTTGTTCTTTTCTTTCTTCCAGCTTATCATAGACAAGCTCATGTCCTGTGAGACAGATCAGAGCGCTGTGATTGGTCGGTTCCAGGACTACTTTCAGTACGATGACATCAGACTGTTCACCTTTGTATCCCTCCACAAGAACCTCAGGACGGTCACCAAGGAGTTTACACGGGTTAGTGAACTAAAAAATGTCTTGAAAAATGCCCTTGATGGAATAACTAGACTAACTAGACTAACTAGAATAACTAGGTATTTTTATGTTTACTGAAGCAAAACATAGACTAGTGGTTTTGCTCTGTTTCTTCTTCTTCTGTTCCAAACAAGTAAGGTCAATGACCAGGACCAGACATCTGTCACCATGGTAACTGGTGTTGGGTTACATCATGTTGCAATTTTATAGCAGGAGGGATTTAGACTCCTGTTACCATAATATATGAATGTGTTTGAGTAAGAATTAACAGAGCAGACTATATGCGAAGGTAAACATTATGCATTTGCTTTGCAAATGTTACCTTAAGTTTCTAGTTAGAAGATGTGCTTTGTGTTACAACATCTTTCCAAGTCTCAGCTAAGGTATTGTTTTCTTGTTTGTTTATTTTTCTTTCCCTCCCAGCAACCCCCTGACACCTACCTCCACAATGTGCACACCTTGCTGAGTCAGGTACAGATGCCTGTAGAGGGGGACCAACTCAACAACCTGTACGTCTCACCTACAGGTAGGGCAATGTCTGTCTATCAATCAATATACCAATCAATCATTTTTCTGAATGCTGATAGGTGAATGATTATGTATTTCTGCTACATGTATGTTGATTGAAAGGAATAAAGACTGATCAACACAATACAATGGTCCGTATCAGACAACTTATAACATAACATGTATACAAAACTACGAAATAGTTTAAAAGGTATGGGTTTGTATAATGCCTAGAAACTTTGTGTCAAATTTGAACCCAGATCTTGTGTTACATTTTCATTGCTTGTTTCTTGGATCAAGGTTTATTGAGTTATGGAATCCAGTCAGTCAGTTGATAGGTTGTCCTTGTATTTTTTCTTCCTTTAGACCCAGATGCAGAGTGCAGAGCTAAACAGATGAAGGTAAGGAAAGAAATTTGTGTGAAATAGTTTTGCTGTATTGAATCTATACATGAACACCCAAAGTTTGATGTTTTCTTTCTCTTATCATATCCAATCAGAAAATTCTAAATGTCTTTTTTTTTAGCACTTATCATCTTGCTTATTTTGCTTTTCTGTAGGAGCAAAGAAGAGCATTCACAAATGCCTGGCTGAGCTTCCTGAAAAATAAGGTATGATTATAGATCTATATAGATATACCAGCAAATAGCTCATGAACAACAATCAATAGTATCCGGTATCTATTATCTATTAGCTGCTGTTGACCTTGCTCTCAAGGTCACATGTGACATATTGCAATACCTCCCACAGCTGCCCACCAGCCTGTACAGACAGCTACTGCTAATTTTGACCTTGCTGTCAAGGTCACATATCTGATGTTGCTGTTCCTCCCACCACAGCTGCCCACCAGCCTGTACAGACAGGTGCTGTTGACGTTAGACCAGGCTGTCATCCCCCACATGTCCAGCCCCAAGCTGCTCATCGACTTCTTGACTCAGTCATACAACGTTGGTGAGTGCCAATTTCACAAATACCACTCAGGTCATACCATAACTTTAAAAATGGGACATACTGCTGTCTCTGCTTAGCACTCAGCATCTATGAGAAAGAGTATGGAAAGGTCAAACACACAACACTACCAGCCGGCTAGCCTCCTGATGTGGTACTTGCACAACTGTGTGGCCCAAGAGCTACAGAAATGGAGATGGGCACCACCCCAATGCTCTGCAAGGAGTGGAAACTTTCAAGGGACTTTCTTCACAGTCCAAAACTTTGCCCATCCTTACCAATCTTACTGAAAATTGTGGTGCATAGTGAGTGAGTGAGTGGTGGGTCCAGTCTTGATGTGTGTGTCTGTTCTAAAGCATAAAAACCACTACTAACATCATATCTTTAAGTCTGTAATGCCAACCAGCAGTATGTAATTGCAATGAAGTATCTTCAGTACAGTTTAAAGAATTTTTTGTTATTTTCTTCGTTGCAGGAGGAGCTATCAGTCTCCTGGCGTTGAACGGACTGTTTACACTCATCTACAAACACAACTTGTAAGTGGGAATAAAATGGGCTGTCTTTTTCTTTAACCACAAATTTAAACTCATCAAGTATAGGCCTGGCTGATTGATTGAGTTGGCTGTCGGAAAAGTGCATGAAGTGCACAGAAAGCATGTCAGCAGAACTTACTGCACCTTGGCCAAACCCAGATTTTTCAATTTCATGGTGTTCTTTGGATGTTTGGTCAACGTTACATCGATCAGAATTTTGCCTGTTGCAGACAATATCTTTTCTGACACAAAATTTGAAAACTATAGATGGGATGTCATCCTTATATACATGTATGAATACAACCTTAGAAATGTATTCTGACATTCTGCCTACTAAGTACATAGCAATTGAAAGAAAACCATTTTCTCCATGTGCCCCTGATGTCCTGTTTTGTGTGTTTGTGACAGAGATTACCCAGACTTCTTTAGGAAGCTGTACGCGCTGTTCGAGCCGTCGGTGTTCCATGTGAAGTACACGGCGAGATTCTTCCACCTGTCTGACGTCTTCCTCACTTCCACGTAAGAACTCTTGTGTTTTCTGTATGTTGTTTACAGTTTATGAAGACTTAAAACACTATAACTAATTGCACACAGAGTTAAGATACTTGCATGGAAGTGCTAAGCACATTTTCTCACTTGTGTATGTTTATATATATAGCATTAATGGTCTCTTCATATCATGCCATACTGTCACAGATGGACTTTCAGTTAAATGCCCGAGTCGGTTGCATTCATGTCCTTTTTCCTTGTTTGCTTTGCAATTTAAGGATGTCTAATAATAGATATAGTAGAGGGAATTCATTCCTCAAGCTAACCAACATCTTGCACACTGGAGTTGTCCCTCAGTAAGACATCTGGAGCCCCATAGTTCCCGTTTGTAACTTTTATTCAACCTGTCACACAATTAAAGGATGTTTGTTTTTCTTTCCAGACACATCCCTGCGTACTTGGCAGCTGCCTTCATCAAGCGGTTATCCAGACTTGCCCTGTCTGCACCAGTCCAATGTAAGTCTGTTTGGATTGGAACCTCTTGACACATGACATTGTGAAATAAACTGGACTATTATAGCTAATATGCCCAGGTTTTGTTCCTGTTTATGTGGCAAAAATGCAACTTTATATTGCAGGGACTGCAAAATACTGAAACACATCCTTACAAAATCATACAACATGCCATGATACATGTTGTTTTTTTTAATTTTTACTCAGCTCTCCAAATGGTCCTGGTTTTCATCTCTAACCTGCTGAGGAGACATCCCAACTGTCAGGTTCTGGTTCACAGAGGTAGTGCAGAAGGTGGGTTTTTACTAGATATTTCTTTCAGGTGTTTTAACTTCATTTAGAATTTATTTTTTTGCTGAAATGTCTGACTTACCCGCTTGTTGGAAGTACATTGATGTACAGTGCCAGAATCGTGACAGACTAAGCTTCCTTGTTGTAGTTACCACGAGGAGTGAATATGGCTGTTATCTAGCCCTGCCAAGCCAATTTGGCCCCATTCCTAGTTTCTAAATATATATATATATTGGCTCTCGTTCTTCCCTCGTACCATCCAAGAGTGGAACGAACTTGAGCCTGGTGTGGCGGAGGCGGGGTCCCTCGCCCAGTTCAAAACTGAACTGGCGAGGACCCTGCTGCGTTGAGTCGCCCCTACACATCTTGTATATATATATGTCCTACTAACACACTAAATGCACTGTCTTGTCTCTTACACCAACAGACTCAGTTATTTACGTTCCGTAGTGTCCCCTCCTTCAGTTACCCTTGTTTTTATTTGTACCGGTCACTTGTTTTGTAATTAACAGTTTTGTATTAATGTGCAGCTGCTAGTAATCCAATGTAAATTGGGCTTAGCAGTACTTAAGAAGATATCCAGATGGTTGTTGAAAATCTTGAACCCTTTTTGTATTTCGTGTTGGAATAAAGTTCAGCATCATATACTATAACAAGGAACAGTGCAAATGTTGACAACTACATGGTATCCCTCCTAAACAGCACAAATATGTAATAGCACCACAAGTACCACTGACCACTACTTTATTGTGACACAGGAATTGATTTACGACGATGATTTATTTGTTTATTTATTACGACTAATCTTGTACATACATGTTAAAACTTAAGTGATATAAAGGTTTGTACGACGTAAGATTGTCATAGTTTGTACAATTGTAAGATTGTAAATACCTAATTTTTGAACCAAAGTGATATATTAATATGTAGATTCCGATATGATTGCAATTTGTATTTCCCTACTATTATATTAATAAAATATATTGTAAACAACTTGATCAGAATTCAGCCCTGTATGTCAAGGCTGCGAGATATGTTGTTGATATGTTGATACAAACAAATAAACCAATTATTATTATTACATCATAATCTACTTTTCTTGTTCAGTATATCACTTTTGTCATAATACTCATGATGATACTAGTGACATACATGCATTCATATTCACCCTGTAGGACTAGGCTCTGACCCCTACGATGCGAGTGAGCCAGACCCAGCCAAGTGCAAGGCCATGGACAGTTCCCTCTGGGAGGTCAAGGTCAGAGGAGTTCAAGTAACATGTGTTATATGCTATAGACTGTATATAAGGAACTTATATAGTTCTTCTCCTAGGATAGACATTGCTAGTGACAGACAGTGCTACGGTACCTCTTTCCTCACTGATGGACTATGCACAAAGGAAACATTTAGAATAGATTCCTAAAATAACCCTTATACTGACATATCGTAAACTAGACTTTAAATTGTGGAACTCCTAGAAATTTATTCTAGGCAAAATCAACTTAGATATGACCTATGTGACAGCTTAGTTAGATGATGACTAATTTTTCCTATCTAATTGAAGCACTAAGCTATCTGTATCTGTATCTGTATCTGTATAGCCGGTATAACCGCCTTTCGGCGTAACACACCAGCTATCATATCACAAACAAGACTGTATGTTTATGAATCTTACCCAGACACTACTTAACAGTGCTGAGACAATGACTAACTCTTCCTGTCCAAGAGTTGACTTTGCAATATTGCTACATATTGTATTGACTGTAGCAAATCTATTCGATACACATTGCTAGGCACCTTTTTTGTGCAAGCAGACCTCCACAGTTTGTAAGGAAATTCTTGATTGAGTTCCACAAAATTCAAGTGCTTCGTGTTTTGTCAGGGAAAGATGATAGAAAAAGAAATCTTAGAATTGATTCCTAACCCTAATGCTTTTCACAAAGAAGACAGTTTGTTTGTTGAAAAATGACCTAGTTGACAGAGCTGAGATAATGACTTCCTACCCACGCCCCCCCTCCCCAGTCTTTGCAGGCCCATTTCCACCCGGCTGTGTCCCAGGCAGCAGGAGTGTTGGGGAAGCCGCTGTCCCCTCTGGAGGAGGACCTGTCTCAGTACCTGGAGTTGTACACTAGTGAGGTGGGGAACAGGTTTCTCTCTTTTGTTTGGGGACACCCCTGTGTTTCACCACTCCTACAGTATGTTCTGACAACCCTATGTTCCGAAACTGCTATTTTCCGACACCTCCGTGTTCCAACACCTTCTGTGTCATAACACCCTTACTAGTATATTCCAACACCCTTAACCAAACCACCCACCTCTCATTTTCCGACACCCTATATCTTCTGGTATCCTTATGTTAAAAAATGCTCTAACCCCCTATTTTCCGACCCCCCCCCCCCCCATGTTTTGACCCTCTACATTCTGGCCCCCTATGTTTTGATACCTCTATGTTCCAACACCTCTACATTCTGACTCCCCTATTTTCAGACACTCCAACATGTATGTTCCAACACCCCTATGTTCTAACTCCCCCATGTCCCAACACCCTTATATTTCTCAGTTTCTTTCTCTAGGAAGCCATGCTCACAATAACCTCCCCTTTCTTCCTTTTTCCAGATGTTTGAGAAGGATCTGACCAAGCCTGACCAGGTTCCGCTTGAGTTCCACGTTCCAAAAGGGCTGTTTGGATCTAAAGACCAGTTCCTCGACATCTGGGAGACAGAACCACCAGTGAAGAAGCAAAAAACTGTCACTTGATATCAGAGCAATAGTGGAAATTAAAGTATGGTTAAAGTTTCAAGTTTCAATTGTCTTTCTGTAACATACTAGTAGAATACCATAAATAGATTTTGATACACAATAGCAAAAAACTGTTACTTGATAAGCAAACTAGTGGAAATTAAAGTATGGTGTCTCATAAAATAATATAAAAGTTTCAATTTTCTTTTTGTAACATAGAATAACATAAATAGAAACAACAGCAAAAAAACTGTCACTTGATAAGAAAACATAAATAGAAAAACATAGAATAACATAATAGCCTGGATGCCATCCTCCATAGTTTCCACCCAATCCCTAATGTCACTGACTATAACATAAATAGATACATGTGTACAATCTCAATCATATACACATAATACCATATTATTGGCCATATTATAGAAAGTTTTATTGCAAATTCATGCCCAAGGGCTAATTGCATGAACAGAAGAAACATTTGGTATAAAAACAGATAATTAGTACACATAGAACTACTGATAACTATTAAGAAACTACTAGTAAAAAACTACTGGGATTATAGATTATATTATATTATACTACTATTATAAGAGGAAATGTTACAGGCTTGCACAATTCTCCTGAAGTCTTTAAGAAGAATTTCTCAAGAAATGAGATCAGGTACATCAACTTCTTCTTTGAAGTGCCATTAGTTGAAGAAAGGGAGACCGATTTATTATTTTGCATGGATTGCAGGTCCTGGAGCTTTCCATATATTAGAAATTTAATAGGAAATAACTCAGAAATGATTACATTGCCCAAAATAACTGCCGTACCCCAGGTGTATTTATAACTGCTGCCAATTATAGCTGCTAACAGGAAGAAGAAATGATTTGTTGAAAGACTTCCCTCCCCCATGACTCCCTGGCCGCCAGATGTGGGTGTTTGGTAGCCTGTCCGGGGGTTAATGACCCTCGCCTGGAGCGCGGTTTTATAGTATACATCTAAACTGTACAGATAAATTTATATTTCTAATGAGCTTAGACACGACTTCTATATTGAAACATGTCCTGTTCTTACCTTTTTACCATTACTAAGAAACGAGAAGAAACCGAATCTACCATACTTAATTTATCTAATTGTAGTTTCCTTGACGATGGATATACATGTATGTAACGTTATCTGTATTCCATCCTTTTGTTATGACCTGTACTTAACCCAGTGGGTATGTGTGTACAATAAAGGTCTTCATTCATTAATTCATAGTCAGGCTAGGCGTTTGGAGTCCACCTGGATGGTGAAAGAAATTAATTCATTGTCAACCCAATTATATGTGCAGTCAAACCATGGGCGATAGGCCACCCAGTTTTTGTTGAGATCGCAGTTGCTTCTTTATATATATTCTGTATTGCAATGAGTATTATACTTGATTGTAAAAGCAATTAGCCTACGGGCATGATTTTGCTAATAAAGTTTCTTTATATACTTTTGGGTGATTATAACGAAACATGCAGTGCAAGAGATTTGATACCAGATAAATATTCAACTTAATACAGGTTAATCCTTGATCTTCATTGTCAAAAGGTTATTGACGCAGTGCCGGTGGTTTCGGGGGGCTTGTACATGTCTGGCGTTGTGAATTGTGTGAGAATGAAAGAATTTTATTATTGCGTTTTGTAATCTGATTTGAAGCTGTTTTTTTCGTTTTGCTGTAGAGACAGGCGGTCGACGTCTTTCATTGATATAACCAAGGAAGTTAAAAATCAGAGACCTCGCCGGAGGCAGTTGTGTCTAAGGATAGAAATGTGTCTTCTGAAAATAGAGACATGTCTAAAATAGAAATGTGTCTAAAATAAATGTGTTCGTGTGAAAAACGAGATTGCTTGATGGATTTCTTGGAAGACAGAAATAAGCTGTCGCCATCGGCCATGGGGCAAGGCAGGGGGTAAGCACTGGGAAACTTATCGCCAACACTGTTCCTTATATGCCAACGCTTAGGCAACGTCCTTCGCATTTAAATCCAGAACCAACCAGTCTCGTCATTAATATATTCCCCCAGCAGTCTGTAGTAAGCACCAGTCAATAGTAGTGAGTCCAGAAGTAGTTTTCAGATGTCAGGAGGCGAGTTACTATGGAGTACGCCGACGCTTAAGCTTCGATTCGTCCCTCGCATTCAAACCCAGAACGTACAAATCAAGTGACATAGCGTTTGTACAATAGTCTGTTTTCAGATGCCAGGAGGTGAGTTACTCGCTTAAGCCGTGAATGTCCTTCGCATTTAATACCAGAACGTACCAGTAGTGGGGCCAGAACTAGATCCGTGTAATAGACTCTCAGAGCCTTTGCACAATAACCTGTTTTCAGATGTCAGGTGGCGAGTTACTAAGGAGTACGCAAATCCTTCAGCAACGGCCTTCGCATTTAATACCAGAACCTACCAGTCCTGTCATTAATGTATTCCCCCAACAGCCTGTAGTAAGCACCAGTCAATAGTAGTGAGTCCAGAACTAGTTCCTATTGTGTTTTTAGCTATGATTAATGATGCCAGACCAACTACCTCCAACCCACATTGGAAATATGTGGATGACTTGAACTTGGGCGAGACCAGGTCCGCAACGGTACCCTCACAAGTACAGACGGACCTTGACTCTCTTGACACGTGGGCACAACAGAACTCAATGTCACTCAACCCGAAAAAATGTAAGGCCATGTTCTTTTGCTTCATGCGTGCTCCCCCTGAAATGCCGACCCTCACCCTTGGCGGCCAGGCCCTCAGTGTCGTCACACAGACAAAACTACTTGGCCTTCACATTCGCTCGGACTTAAGGTGGAATGACCAGGTCGAGACCATGGTAAGCAAGAGCAGCAAACGGCTCTACCTCCTTGGCAGACTAAGACGTTCCGGAGTCCCTCAATCACACCTCGCTTCTGTGTATTGCGGGTACATAAGACCTATGCTAGAATATGCTGCTCCATGCTGGAGTGCTGGTCTTACCAAGAAACAATCAGACGACATTGAGAGGATACAAAAACGCGCTTGCAGAATCATGATGGGGCAACAGTACCTCTCATACACTGATGCCCTTGAGCACCTTGGACTCCAACGTCTTTCCGAGCGCAGACAGGACTTGTGCATGGACTTTGCCCTCAAAGTCAGCAAATCTTCGCGCTTCTCCTCCTGGCTACCCCCAGCACGGAAGCAGAAACACCACAGGCAACTCAGACATACCCGTTGCTACCAGCTACCTATTGGGACCAAACGCTTCCTGAACAGTCCCGTCCCGGCTATGCTGAAACTGTTGAACTCAATGTGAAAGTAACTCTTGACTAATAGGTTTAACGTCTTTCCCGCCTTAACTGTTAATTTTGTGGGAGCTAGTTCGTCTCTGCAAAATTTGGATACTAGTACCAATGAGGACTTATCAAATCTTATCTTTACTGTAACGTTTTTAAGAACCTTTCGACAAATTACTCTTTTAAGATATTTCAATATTTGTAATAATAGTATGGTGTATTTAAGATTTTAAACAATTGTTAAATTTTATCCCTATGTGTGTTAACAGCTGTACTGCCCATTTGTAATCGTAATGATGTTGTATTTTGTAACCAGACCCAACAATTCAGCCGAATGCATCTCGGCTGCCAGTGGGTCCTGGGATTTATTTGTTTATCAACAATAAACCAGTCTATAGTTCCGTGTGAACACTCTGAGTGACATTTGTACAATACACTGTTTTCAGATGTCAGGAGGCGAGTTACAAAGGAGGACGCCAACGCTTAAGATACGTCCTTCGCATTTAAAGCCAGAACCAACCAGTTCTGTCATTAATATATTCCCCCAGCAGCCCACCTGTAGTAAGCACCAGTCAATAGTAGTGTGTCCAGAACTCAGTTCCGTGTGAAGGACTCTAAGTGACAATACACTGTTTTCAGATGCCAGGAGGCAGGTAACTAAGGTGTGCGCTAACGCTTCAGCAGCGTCCTTCGCATTTAAAACCAGAACCAGCCAGTTCTGTCATTAATATATTCCCCCACCATCCCCCCTGTAGCTATTTCCTCAAGAAGGCTCAGGCTTCGAGTCAATACTTCCTAATGAGGTACGGCAGTTCTATATGCAGGGGCAAGGACGTTTTATTTTGTATAATGCAAACTACTACAAAACTCTGCTGTTAGTCGTGCTGGACAGTAATCTTACCTTTAATTATCTCGAAACCCTGTTTTATATTGTGTTCATCTGCAACCATCACGATAAATCAACTAATTATAATGACACTATTGAGCGGTATTTCTACAGACCATGGTACTTAAACATTCGTAGCAACACTGTACTGTTGCAGAGTGTTACTTTTACCGTTACAAGTTTATTGCAAATTTCGGTGCCATTCAGTTTTTATGCATTATTTCGCATGTCAGGGGAGTTAGTCTGCTGGAGAGAACGGGTGCGTCAAACTGTTTTCTCTTGCAGACCAACTCCCCTGGCATGTTATATCTCTATTTGGCCGATTTCTACTCTTTCCAGCCGCCTCCCGAAGCCTGGTAGAAGCTAATTACACCCACATGATGGAACAGGTGTTTCTAACGCCATGGGCGGTGGATAATCCTATAACAGCCGCTGCGTGAGGACGTGTCCCCCGCTTCCGCAGACGCTCTCCACCATCACGTTAGCTCTAAGGCAGCGGAAATCGGCGGGACCCAACACACCTACACACGTAACGCAGGCGAAAGATGGGGGCTGTGGCAGTTTCTATCAGACTGCTTTGTAGGCTGAAGAAATGGTAGAAATCGGTCTAAAAAGGAATATAGCTGGCCAAAGGGTGGTAATAGTCGGCCAGAGAGGGTCGAACTTGCCTGCAATGGATCCTCTTCGGCCGGCTAAGTCCCCTGGCCAGCTACATCGCTTTTAGGCTAATTTCTGCTACTTATTCAGCCTGCAAATGAGTTTAGTGGAGGCTAAGGGCCGTGGTAGAACCGGATGGTAATCATCATTGCATAAGAGAGTCAAGATGGCCAAAAGAGTGCTAGTAGTAGTACATCACTGTGATGACAACTTGCTTCCTTAGTGTTTCGGTCACCATGTCTTGGTCACGTCATTTGTATATGCATGTATGTATGTGACGAAGATGAAATTCTGCTACGACGGTAGTTTGTTATCATCCGCTAGTACATCACTGTGGTGTGTTTTCGTAGTTTGTCATGGACACCATACCTCTGGCAGGTCACTGTGTGTGTATGCGGAGATGTTGATCATACATAGCCTGGGTACCATCCCCAGTAGTATATTCGCTAACTCTATAACCAGTTATAGAGTTTGCGAATATACTACTGGGGATGGTACCCAGGCTAGATCATACAAGCAGAATAGGAAATTTTGCTACGACGGAACGGAGTGCTAGTACATCACTGTGGTGACTACTTGTTACCTTAGTTTTTGGGTCAACCATTTCTCGTCATCAAATTTATGCATGTATGTATGCGACAATGGTTATGTAAGATGATATTCTGATACGGCGGCTGTTTATTATCATTCCTGGAAGTATGCTAGTACATCACTGCGGTGACAATTGTAACCAGCGAGAACCAATTTCCTTAGTTTTCCGGTCACCATGCCTCGCGCAGGTCACTGCGTATGTATGTGTATGCAATGATGGTTATATAAGATGAAATTCTGCTATAGACGCAGTTTGTTATCATCCTTAAAGTATGCTAGTACATCACTGTGATGACAACTTGTTTCCTTAGTTTTTGGTCACCGTGCCTCTGGCAGGTCACTGCGTATGCATGTGTATGCGATGGTTATATTAGATGACATTCTGCTACGGCGGTAGTTTGTTATCATCCTGAAAGAGTGCTAGTACGTATACATCACTGTGGTGACAACTTGTTTCCTTATTTTTTTCGGTCACCATGTCTCGGTTACGTCATTTGCATGCATGCATGTATGTATGCGCTGATGGTTATAAGATGAAATCCTGTTTGTTATCATCCTAAGGAATTCTAGTACATCATACTGGTGACAACTTGTTAGGATTTCATGAATGGTCCCTTCATCCTCAAAAGATGGATGAGCGATCCACGCGCGCGAGCGGTTGTTTGTGCATCCTGCTCCAGATATTGGACAAACGTCAGCAGAAAACGCAGACTACACGTGGTGCCGGCAACACGTGTCCTGGTCACGGTGTCCCTCTGTGCCCTCTCTGCGACAGTCTGGGGCTCACTTCAGCCTCCACCAGGCACCGCGGATCGCTGGAAAAATAGTAGAAATTGTCCGAAATAAAGGGATAGTATACCAGAGAAGATCCAGGGCCATAGAAGATCCAGTTCGCGATCCACGTGGGTCGGGATCTTCTCTGGTATACTATCCCTTTTATTTAGGACAATTTCTACTATTTTTCCAGCGATCCGCGATGGTTGGTAGAGGCTAGGACTCACTCAGGCCTAGCAAAAAAATTTTGTGTTTTCTTTTTCAGTCATGAAAAATTCTGGTGGGTAGGTATAGGGATTATCTTTTTTTTTTCTTCTTTTTTTTTTAGACTTTGGTGATCTCTACTGATCCAAATAAAATACAGTTTAACGTATCAAAACTTGCATAAGGCCACTTATGTTTTCAATGCCAGTGTTGGAAAACCGATTGTACAACGTTTCATCACTCAGGTGTCAGATCATGGAGCACCAAAAAAAAACCCGCTAGGCTCGGCAGTTTTTTTCTAAGCCTAAGGTTGGTCGGGAAACAGGCGGAAACACAACATTTTTCCCAGGCCTCACTCAGTCTAGGACGCGAATCTAATTGTCTGTACATGAAAATTGCAACACATAGTGGTGACCTCGAGTTATGTCTAGAACCGAAACAAAGGACAATACATAAATATGAAGTCGAAATTTTTTAGCTGGTGTTTCTTTCCTTGAGATAATAAAACTCTGATTTATAATTGCATTTCGTGGTGTGGTGAACCCATAATAATTGCAAATACATTGTACACTTCTACTGAAGGCACGTTGGACAAAAAACGTTTCTATTTTAGCACAAGAAATCTGCAAAACCGATGTGACCTGTATATCTAGCGATTTGGGCACACGACAAAAAGGTAAATTCCTTTTTACTCTGTTACTTTGCTCAGATATCTATTCTAGTCTCTGTTGCGCATTTCAAGTTCTGTACGTTGAAACGAAAAGAAGAGAATACCACATGAGCCATTTGTAAGGGCTTGACCTGACACACAGCGTTAGAGGTACTGCATAAGTTGATTGTATCAACACTTTTTAAAAACATCATGGTGATCAAAATTCACAATCAAAAACTGCATCTAAATCTCAATTCATCTTAATCGCAAAAAAATACAATTTGCCAATACCATAACGTTGCCGTTGGTGATAACTATCAACTTTGGCCCCTTCTTAAAATATCGATACAAGCAAGATATATACACTATAAACACTACAATGACTTATTTGGTCCCTAACCTCATTGGTACAATCTGTCATCAGCAAGATTGGTGTTCACCAGATGTCCAGCTGATATTTCTCTATTTTTTTTTATAGTTTTAGTCTGTTTCCGTATAGTAAACCGTTGGTGATGTATAATATTTCCCCTACCGGTACAAAGAGTTAATAAAGGTTTTTATCTATAAACATCATCATGACTTATTTGGTCCATAATCTCACTGTTACAGTCTCTCATAGCGGCATTGCTCTTCCACAGATGTTGTCCACCTGCAGATATTTCTCTAGGTGCTCGGCGAGTTTTTTTCAAGTCTTTTCCCAGGTATATATAAAGTAAGCGTTGGTGATGTACAAAAATTTCCTCCTATCTGTACAAAGAGTTAATAAATATCTATTTCTTTATTTCATCTTCAAATATCTGGGTAGCTCATACTGACAGATCAGCTGATTTCGAAGTAGGCCAACAAAAACAAAACATAAATACAATAAAATCAAATGGAAAATTATGATACATGTAGGTAAAATCTGTATCTAAAAAGACTACCATGTCTTGTTTGGTCCATAATCCATTGTTCACTGTTACAGTCTCTTATAGCGTCATTGCTTTTCAATATAGATGTTGTCCACCTGATATTTCTCATATATAGATGGCCGCCTTGTTTTTTGTTCTTGAATCTGTTTCCGTATATTGAATCGTTGGTGATGTATAATGCCCCCTATCTGTACAATGAGTTAATAAAGACTTGTATCTATAAACATAATCATGACTTGTTTGATCCATAACCTCACTGTTCCCTGTTACAGTCTCCTACAGCGACATTGCTTTTAAACAGATGTTGTCCACCTGATATTTCTCCAGTTTTTAGTCTGTTTCCGTATATACAGTAACGGTACAAAGAGTTGATTTGGATCTAATTAAACACTACTATGACTTAGTCCATAATCTCACTGTTACAGTCTCTGATAACTGCTGTTCAGCAGATGTTGGCAGATGTTGTCCACCTGATATTCTCGAGTTTTTTTTAGTCTGTTAATGTTTTCATATATATAAGGTAACCGTTGCTGATGTGTAAACGATCCCCCCGAATCGGTACAAAGAATTGATAAATATTTGTATCTAATTCTGCCATGACACATTTGGTCCATAATTTCAACCTTACAGTCTGATCAAGCAGATATCGTCGTTGCTTTAGATCTTCAGCAGATGTTGTCCACCTGATATTTCTCCAGTTTCCTGGCGTCGGTGTCCTGCTGCTGCTGCATCTGTCCCGGCAGCTCCTCTGCTGGTGCCCTGAGGTGCTCCACGTCCTGCGGCCGCAGCGCGCTCTGGACCGAGATCTGAGTCAGGATCTCACTCGTGAACTCAAACGTCTCGGCCTGGGGAGTGATCTCAAGGACCATGTTGTGGTTCCGAGAATCTGGGAAGGAAGGTTTGGATGAGTCAATTACTTTGGATTGAATAGCAAAGTTGGATGGCCGTTAGACATCTTCACGCAGGGCAGGCAGATTTTTTTTTTTTTAATTTTTTTATTCTGTTTTCTTTTACCAGGGTGACCCTCTCAGTGGCTACTGCACTGCTTTACAGAGGGGCCCTGGAAAAGAATAAAGAAATTTGCTACATCCAATCATTCATCAACCTGTTAACGAACTTCAAGGTAGTTTGGAATCTGGTAGAGACGGTACTAAGAGTTAGCCTGGGAGCCAGACTGTTGCCAGGGCCATATTGGGCATGTTGTGGTTATGGGAATCTGGTAGAGAAGGTCAGACCGTGTGCCAAACTGTTGCATGATGTGGTTCCGCGAATCTGGTAATTAGAGTTTGGTAGAGAAGATTACTGGAATCTGGTAATGTAGGTTTGGAAGCGTTGAGTTTATTTGGAAGAGTTAAGTTGAGTTTGAACGGATCCAGACATAGCGCACACACACACAGACACACACAGACACACACACACACACACACACACACACACACACACACACACACACACACACACACACACACACACACACACACACACACACACATATATATGAATGTACATTAGTTATTCTTTCTGTGTCCCTTTATTAATACACACGATACAAATGCACAGAGGAATATATACAAAACATAAATACGTATTCACTGATAACAATAAAGAAGAGTGGATACTTTGGATAGAATATCATTGAACACAATTTAAAGGGGAAATGATTCTTAAGAACAGGCCAGACTAGGCCTGGTACTTACAAATCACGCAACGTTGTTCGAGGGAATGGAGCCACTTACTCGTGCAGCACACACAGTTTCCGCTGACACAGCCGATCGCAGAGTGGACGATGATGGCGATGGAGATGAGGACTACCAGAGCCACCAGGACAACACTCACGATCGTCATCGTCTGAAGGAAAAGAGAATACATATTGCTTACAGACATATCACAGGCTAACACATTTTCAGTCAGGGCCTAGCCATAGCCATAGCCCTACCAGGGCACCAGGACAACGAGGACAACACTCACAATCGTCATGTCTGCAGGCAATGAGAATACATATTGCTGACAGACATATCATACGCTAACACATGTCCAGTTAAGGTCTAAGCCTAGCCCTAACCCTACCAGGGCCACCAGGACAACACTCACGATCGTCATGTCTGGAGGCAAGGAGAATACATATTGCTCACAGACATATCATACGCTAACACATGTCCAGTGAAGGTCTAAGCCTAGCCCTAACCCTACCAGGGCCACCACGATCGTCATGTCTGGTGGCAAGGAGAATACATATATTGCTTACAGACATATCATAAGCTAATACAAAAGCTAACACCCTAACCCTAAAAGAGTCACCAGGACAACACACACAAGCGTCATGACTGGCAAGGAGAATACATACCGCTTACAAACATATCATAAGCTAACACATGTCCAGTTAAAGTCTAACCCTAGCCCTAATCCTAACCCTACCAGAGCCACCAGGACAACACGCACGATCGTCATGTCTACAGGCAAGGAGAATACATATTGCTTCCTGGCATATCATAAGCTAATACAAAAGCTAACACCTTAACCCTAAAAGAGTCATCAGAACCACGACAACACTCACAATCGTCATGTCTGGGGGCAAGGAGAATACATATTGCTTACTGACATATCATAAGCTGATACAAAAGCTAACACCTTAACCCTAACAGAGTCACCAGGACAACACTCACTATCGTCATGTCTGAAGGCAAGGAGAATAGATATTATACCCATTATCTCATATCCACTCTTTATCTTGTATACTTATTAGATTTAAGTAGAGATAGAAAGTTAGATTAGTAGAAGCTCTGGCATGAACTTAGCATATCCCAATATTCATGCATACTCTAGGTGGCTGTAAGCCTCTCACCAAAGCCTTAGTAACCCACATGCCAAATATGATTATGATTCATCATTGCCTTCTCAAGTTATGCTGTTAACAAAGAGACACAGACAGAGGCATGGACATGAAACACATACTAGTAACCTTCTTGTCGAAGGTATTTATCATTGGCATGGCAGTATCCAACACGTTTAACGGGCTGAAAAAAAAAACGATACCGGTACAAAAAAGAGAACCTCACAAAACGCGTCAGAAATAAGCCAAAGCCTAAAATCTAAACCCCTGCTTGGAGAGTATCATGTACCAGTATCCATTAATAGCTAGCTAAGTGTTCATGCTTATTAGTAGGTAGTTGATACTGATCTCGCTGGGACGTCTTTCCTTGTCTGAGGTATCCGTTTTGTACATTTAACACCTGTAGGAAGTACCCTGCGTCATACATAGCGGTAAATAACTAGGACAGTTATCCCGTTTTTTGGGTCAATGTCTGGTAGGCCAGACTCCAGTTTCAGCGTAAGACCCTGTAACATGTGCGCGAACACAGAAGGCTTGGGGTTACACGGCATGGGGCTACATGTCATTACTTACCTGGCCAGATTAATCTTGCGAATCGCCACCAAACCCTCTCTGGCGAATGGATACTGCCTGTCCAATTTGATACTGTCTTTTGCCACCCGGGTACCCTAGAATCTGCTTGGAGATTATGGCTGGCCTTCTATGCAGAATGTTACCTGGTGCCTGGGAGCGAGCGCGGTGGGCCTGGTGCCTTATAACTACTAACCGAGAACCCTATTTCTGTACCCGCGGTCTACGCGACAATCCTACACTTTCAGGTGACGTGTCAGTACGCAGGCGGATTCTGACTGATTGGATTCTAGCTGTGTGCTGATTGGTGAGGGGCCGGTTGCTATGGCAACGTGTCGTCAGCCAGACCAATCACATCATTGCTTTGAAGAAAAAATAGAACCGCGGAACGAGATTCTATAGAACATGACGTTCGCTGTGTTCCTAATACTTCCTGCCTTCCGTGCAGCTGCTTTGAGGATTTCGCACCATCAAACAGACATTTATAAATTATAGGAGATGATTTGACGTAAAGAACCATGATTAGTTTGACACGATACGGCTGAATTACTATAATGATAAAGCTGTTTACCCCGAGGCCTTCATTAAAGATACCTCCGAATCCGTTTATGGTGCAGAATAAAAGCATAATTACCTTACTGAGTCACCAGTGTCTAAAATAGTCCTATAGGTTCGTATCAATTTTTGAATTACTACAAAGATAAATTATAGTAGTTATGTATCCCATAGCCTTCATAAAGTCCAAATCCGTTTGTGATGCAGCATAAAAGCATAATAAAATTTCTGAGTCACCAGTGTCTAAAATAGTCCTATAGGTTCGTATCAATGGTTGAATTACTATAAAGATAAATTATAGTAGTTAAGTATAATGTACCCATAGCGTTCATAAATGATACCTCCAAATCCATGTATGATGCAGGACAAAAAAAATCACTTAACTGGGTCATCGGTGTCTAAAAAGGAAGTCCTATAGGTTCGTATCAATAGACAAAGATGGGCAACGAGCCTCCGGCCAGGTGAATTGTAAAGTGACCAGGGTTTTCTTTACATAAATACGTCAGTAGCAGCGGAAGTATTGAGAGGTAATCAGTACCATGTTTGTTACATAAACGTTGTTGGTCGCCGTCGCCATGGCAGCGTAATTACAACACAAAATGTCCTGAATCGCATTAATCAAAACAGCCCATGGCCGGAAAGAGCGATAATGCGTTTTTCATTTTCATTTTGTCCTTCCACCTGTTCTTTCCAGCTACATATATGGTCAACAAAATATTACTCTTTTCACCACGACCTCTGGCCCCAAAACAATACATTTTTTCAATCTTTATTGAATTTTCAAGAAATAATACAGTAAAGGAATTACATAGGAAAACATAAGATACTGATGGTGTAAGACAAAACCTATATAAAAGTCCAGAACGGTTTATACGAATTTTTGGTGTATGTAACTTTACATATTAATGATTAATTTGGAATTAAGTTAAATGTGTAAGTTCTATGATTTGTTCAACGCGATGCCCGATATTAGCTATTGCCAGTATTGCGTTGTTGCGATTCCAAATAAATGAACAGATTTCGCTCCGGAAAAAATTAACGCAGAAGCATTTAGTTAAGATATATATGTATGTTTTACTCTATTATTTGTTGAACATCAGCTATATCAGCCCGATATCAGCTATTGCTGACTGGGTACCAGGTGGCAAGTACTTTAGTTTTGCGTTGTTACAGTTTCAAATAAAAAATAATAATTTTCGCCGCGACTCGTAGAAATTCATACAGAAGCAGTCTGCTCCGCGCGCGATCATATTTACATGAGCTCTCCCCCGTGATTCAGTCAGACGTAGAACTTAAAATAGACCGACGACTGGCATGCCTGTGATCCTTACTGTAGGTGACACGTGAGGGGAATGTAATATATTTATAGCTGCTCTGTGAAGTGAAGTACGTTTCAGTCACGACTCACATACTTTAACCTGTTTCCTGATCTACAAATTAAGCAGATATTTCGGTGGCTACAATACAGCTGCAGTACAGTATTATATGAATTACAAATTTACTATAGTTGTAGAAAAACCTTTGTATCCTATTAAATACAACTTTACTGTAACAGTTGTATCTTATGAATTACAAATTTACAGTTCAAATACAAATTTACTGTAGTTGTATCCTATCAAATACAAATTTAAATTATTATTATTACTGCTATATTCTATTAAATACAAATTTACTGTAGTTGTATCATATCAAATTCAAATGTAATGTTGTATTTGATATGATGTGTTATATTTTGTAATGTGTGTAGCTGAATATGCTGCCTAGTTCTCCATTGTGAATTGCTGTTGCAACTTGAATAAAGAAAGAAATTGGCAACTTGAAGACAGCATCAAATTGGCAAGACAGTATCAAATTGGCCAGGCAGTACCCAATATGCCGACCAAAAAAAGATACCAGAACAATAAAAAGAAAGCCCGACAAAACGCGCCTGAACACGCCTAAAATAAGCCGAAGGTTTTGTTTCGATCTAGAGTACCTGTTTCCTGCAATAAGTCATGAATGCCACAAGTCAAGTGTTCACGTCAATCAACTACCCATACAATACATGCGAGACCGTGAATTCACTAGTGACATTCAGACCTATTCATACACGTTATGTAGACTAAATGTCAAAGCTATTTGATATTGTATCTTAAGTACATTGTACACACTGCGGTAGACGGCAGCCAGGTTCACGTGTCAGATGCATACGTTGCTTTGAGTACAAATTCGATCGAAGAGCATATGAAAGGCATGCGAATGTATTTAGTGGATGGAGCAGCGTGTATTTCTGTTTCTTTCGCTTTCCGTTAGCCGATATTCAAATGTCAGTAGGCGACGTGTAGTGCATTTCCCAGAAATCATTCTCTAGTTTCTCATATCTTGACAAATACATGTAGATGTAAATTTGAAAAATTTATTTATTGATCTTTCCGTAAAAAAAGCTAAAACTGGATCTTTTTTTCAGCTTTGTTACATAACTGAGGGGAGCATTACGAAGACTTTTTCTAAGCTCATGTTTAAAATGAAAACACAATAAGAGACACACTAGACACATACGATGAAAGGCGTATGTACAAAATACCTACAACTAAAACAGAAACAATGACGAAAAGGATCATTTCATTCTTGAAACGTTTAGAAATAATACAGATTCTTGAATGTATAGTTTCTGCCAACGTTATTCCACTGTCGTTAGCGTTGAACTACTGGAGGTAGATTTATATAGTGGACTCACCGTTGTTGTCGTTGCTGTTATCGTCGTTGTTGTAGAATCAGGTTTTCTTCAACACCTAGAGCGCTGCCTGGTGTCTTCGGTGGTAAACGCGAGATTGCCGCATGTTCTCTTTCACCGTCTTATACTAAATTCACGAGCTTGTAAGGTGGTCTTCCTGTGACTCAGTATACCATATATGTAGAACGTCTTGTCGTGGTGCGTCACTCCACCTACGGATATGCTTCTCCCACGTCACCGTACCGCCGTGTCCCAGAGGACCAGCCAGGCTTTTATTTTACAATTTTTTTGTAGCCGTACGTTGATATGCAAGATTGTATCCCGGATGTGAGCAGACCCCATCAGGAGAAGGCGAACCAACCAGAAGCGCCCATCACAACAACCCGCCTTCAGAGGGGCTATTTTTAGCTCCGCCGGGGACAATCTCATAAGTACTGTCGTCTCGCGAAGGGATTGAGAATGGATTATGGGGATTTGTTTCAATAAATAAATGAGTGAAGACCTTTATTCGTCGGTGAAGGTTAGACATCCAGGTAATAAGATACGTAAAAAAATAGTGTCACTGACGAAAGTTAGTGGATGCTAACTTGAAACGTCTGATCGTTTTTAAAACCATATCCAGTTGCTTGAGAAACTGTTTTTTTGGCGAAAACCTTTATTGTGCATGTATTCTCACTGGGTTAGCGTTACAGGTCACAAACAGAATAATATCTTGTATATAAATGCATATAGAAATACATGATCAACCTAGCACTAGCACTATTGTCTACAAAGTAAATTCTACTTCTCCTCGCTTCTCTGTGATGGTGAAAATGTAAGAACAGACAGTTTTAAGATCGGGGTATTAGAAATGTGAATTTGTATCGCTAAGGTGTATGAAGTAGGTAATAACGTTAACGTTGATGTAATTAGTATATAATGTTAAATTCTCTCATTGTTGTTCAAACTACATTCTACTACAATATGACTTTCATCTTCTAATATCAGAGTTACAGTATCGACAATCAAGGCAGCTATCGACAATGTGAGGGGCGTGCGTGGTTAATACGTGGGGGTTGATGCAAATGACGTGTATTCTTTATCCATGAATAGGGTATACAAATTCCCTTATCAATGGGACCTTGGTATTGTTAAAATTAACTGTCGTCTCCATCAATATGGCATGAAAGTATTTCTTTACGTACTTGTGCAGTTGTGTACAACCCTTACCTTTTCTCTCATGACCTCAATGAAAATTGACCTGCAGGCCAATTTGAGCTTCTCATGAATAAACATGTGATTGTGTACCATTTAGTAATGGCGACTGTTAATCAGTACATTGGTCGTAGCAAGGAGGTTTTGGTCGTAGTGGGCGAGAAAGAGAGCGAGGGTGACAGCGGGTGTGAGAGAGAGAGAGAGAGAGAGAGAGAAGGAAAGAGGGAGAGAGAGAGGAGAGAGAGGGAGAGATCTGTACTATGGCTGTGTCGTCTTAGCCCCATCTGTATCTGTATCTGTATAGCCGGTATAACCGCCTTTCGGCGTAACACACCAGCTTCGCAGGCACGCGGCGCGGCGGCAGCTGGCTATATTACACCGATCGACTTGTTACACCTAACCCATCTTCGCCCTTCGCCTGATGGAGGCGCTTTCCTTCCTTTGCAGTTGTTTGAAACCACCTGCCATTGTTCGCTGGTACTGCAACTTCTCCGCACAGCCTGTCAGTACCGGTGTTACGCAATCTATCGCTGTCAGGAACTGATTGGGCCTCCTCCCGTCTGGACAGTAATGAGTAGAAGAGAAGGTATATCAACAATACTTAAACGTACCACACAATTGTACAAGCTAAGAACATTACCTGAACTAGAGTTCCACGATCTCATACCTTCGCCAAATGATGTTAGCCTTTATGAATAAGAAATATACTAATCACCCTGATTATGCAAATAGGATCCTCAATTGCATGAATTATATCAGTCTGTTGATCATATTCTACACCAAAAGACAGTCTTATCTTAACAAAGAATGTCATTTCCTCATAAATTATGCAGATGTGGTCCTTATTTTAATAAGTTATGTTTAATTATGTTCACCTTCACTTAACTTTCAAACACCCCAAGTATGAAATTCCAGGCAGTTACCACTATGCAATTATAACATTTTCTCATTAATTATGCAAATTAAGTCTTCATTTGCATAATCAATATTTGCCTGTGTTTCTCTCGTTCTTAATAACATACGTTACAAGCTTGAACTTCCTATCATGGAATGCAGCTGATTTATAGAATTTCCTCATTATTCATGCAAATTACATCAATATTTGCATAATTGTAATATCATTATGTCAAGCATCACTTAAGCTACCTACATACCAAAAATCACGATGATCCATCAATCGGTTCTTGAGCTATCCTCTTTTAAACATTTGTCCTTTAAACCCCCTGCAGTTCTAGAGCAAGCAACTAGGGGGCTCAAACTCATGTCACTTCATCCCCAGCACAAGAGCTATCTACCACTAAAATTTGGTTACCCTAGCATGTCTGAATCTTGAGATATCAAAACCGGAAGTTCTGCTGCAGTACCATAACAAGCCGCCAGGTGGCCCAAAATCTAATCATTTTGAGGTCTCATCAAGACCTACCCACCTACCAAATATCAAGTCAGTCCATTTAAGCCTTCTCAAGTTATCGTGTTTACAGACAGACACACACACACACACACACATACACGAACGCCTCTGAAAACATAACCTTCTTGGCGAAGGTAATAATGAAGATAGCAATGCATACCAAAGTGTAGAATACCAGGAAAATCATATCATCTTGAAAACATGTCATTGAAGAAAACAATACTTCGCTTTCTTGGCGCGCTGCTCTTTCAAATCAGCTTTTTGAAAATTCCCCGTAATCTTTGGAGGTATTCATTCCTTCAACCAGTGAAGGTCACTCTGAAGAGTTGTTCGTAACTATGTGAGGTTCTCAACGTCATTCGGGTAAATTCCCTCACGATCAGCCATGAGAATGAGATACGCGAATCTCTGGGTCGGTATAAGTGCGGACAAAACTGCAGTTTAGTCAGAGTAAACGGCTGGCTCCGTTATACTTACAGCTATCCCCGGGTCACTCATAACGAGAACACCCTACCTGTCTACTGCCTTAGTGCTCAGGCCAGGAATTATTCTTTGCTCCTCTCCGTAAGGTGCCTCCAAGTACGTTGGTGAAGATTAGACAACCAGGTAAAAAATACTCATCCAGAAGTCTTTGACCTCCGTATTTTATCCATTAGTCGAGTTTGAATGCTTGAGAGTCTGCGCACTTACTTAGGCAGGTAGGCAGAGTTTGAACTTTGGACGCCGAACTTTCTGCGAGTACCTCCAAGTAGCACGGTCGCTATCTGCCATCCACTGACATCTCAGAGAGCATCCGCTGCTGCTTGAAGCTGAAAAATGAGTGTGCTGCAGCTGTACATGTCCTATCCCGTGTGTGTGCCCGACGTTGTCTGGCTGGTGGCGCTGCTCGTGTTGGTTTACGGGCTGCTGTACGGCGGGGAGAGGCGGCGAGGACTGGTCCTCCCGCCCGGCCCCACCCCGCTGCCGATCCTCGGGAACCTGCTGCACATGGCCGGCGCCGACCCGCACATCAGGATGACTGAGATGGCGAGGAAGTTCGGCGACGTCTATCAGGTAGACATTTGACTGCCATTATCACTGCTTGGTCTGTTGGGTCAGCTTGCCTAAGCTTGATGTTTCTGACTTAGATAGAGGTGCTGCAATGAGCACTAGTCCAGTGCCTAGAAGTGGACCACCTGCAACTGAGCTTGCACTGAGCCTCGAATCGTTCAAACACCTTCAAGCATACGTAGAGGACCATTTTACTGAAATAGCGGAACCATTGCCTGTGCTTTATGTTATGCTTAAATATTGAATTTTCATGATTGTCCTATGTGTCTCCAGCCACACGCATAAAAGACGCAAGGCTATCAAACAAACTACCAAACGCTCGTGAAACACGATAATACTTGCGTTACGTTTGTCTACTGTCATTAGAAGGGCATTGACAATATTGACATAGCTGAACCAAAACCACCAATGCAAATGCGAAGGCTGGAACGTAAGTGTTGAAAAATTCTCTTAGATATTTTACACTTATCTCCAGGTGTGGCTTGGCATGGAGAAAGTCGTCGTCATCAGTGACATTGACCTTGCTAAGGAGGCCCTGGTGAAGAGCGGGGACGACTTTGCGGGCCGCGCCCCCCTCCCCACCACCGACCTCCTGTCCAACAGCGGCATGGGCATCGCCTTCGCGGACTACGGCAGGGGCTGGAGGATCCACAAGAAACTCACGCACAACGCGCTAAAGGTACCTGGTTGTCCTGGTTATGTAGTATACTGGTACAGGAAACTTTCACACACAACGCGCTAAAGGTCGGTATAGTACAGGAATCTCATGCACAACGCGCTTATAGTACATGCAGCTCACACACAAAGTGCCCAAACAGTAACATCTAAGCAGATCTTTTGTTGGCTGACAGTATCGCATTGGCAAGACAGTATCAAAAGTGGCAGGCGTAAAATATACTAGTGCAAGAAAGAAAGCCCCCAAACGCCTAAACACACATAAAAACGCCTAAAACCTTTCTTTTGCAATACATAAGTGCGGGAAGGAACTTTGACTTTGATTAACTTGACGAAGGGAGGCTTTACCTTTGTTTCTATATCAATTCTTTACTTCACCCATTGCCAAGGCCAACCTTACATGTCTGTTACCTCTCGCTGTGATTAGATGTTCGGTAACGGAATGCAGCAGCTGGAGAGCAGGATATCTCAGGAAGCGGACTGGCTGTGTTCCCACCTCGGCGCCTCTGCAGGACAACCCCTGGATCCGTACACGGGCCTGAACGTCGTGATAGGTAACATCATTTATTTATCTCTCTATTAGAATTGCAAACATAGCAATACAATATGGAGGCCATGGCGACCATGGCTGATGTCGGCCACCACATACATACATACTTATTTATTTATCTATTTATTACAATTCACCAGATACACATGTACATGCATATGGAAGGCATGGTGGAACAGGTGGACCTAAGTATACCTTTTCAAGGCCACCATGCCGACAAATAAATAGACAATGTACACAAAAAATACAAAGCAATAATTAAAACAATAATACCTGCATACCATAAACATATACACATAACAGTAGAGTCATAAATCGCGACATAGTATATAGTTGAGAGGCCATTGGGAGGTCATTCAAATACAACAAGCAATAGACATCTTCCCTCCATGAACGAGGTTGGTGTTGTGTACAAACAAACCACCCCATTAGCAAGGCCGGCAGGTCAATGACCCAAAAACAACCAGACCAAAGAAATATATAGCCTGTCAAACAGGAGGTAAAAACAGATACACTGTGGTCAAACACAGACCACACTACTATAAAATAGGGTGATAATGTAGAAATCCTTTTAAATTAAGCAATACAAATATACGACAACCTGCTAATGCACTCTAAAACACAAAGAGACTCAACAACTACCCACATACCAAAAATTATACCAAACCATCCACCAGATTTTCCAAACATTCAACACAAAAAGACCAACGTTAAACATTTTGTAAATATCAAACGCAAACAGCTAGGAAACCCAAATTTAAACCACTAAACCATAATAATAACAACTACATGCTACCTTTATATCGCACAAACAGTCCATAACGCGCCAACAATAGAATAAAAAAATTAAACTGCAGTACCAAGGTCAATCACCAGGGGCTCAAAGTCAACCTACACAATCTCCAAGGCCCCATCCATCAATCTGCCAAATATCATACAGTTCCTTTTCACCGATCTTCAGATATCAGACCAAAACATGAAACGGACCAAAAACAATACCCCCATTACATGGAGGGTAATTATATATAATATTACAGGTAACATCATCAGCAGTCTGTGCCTGGGGAAGCGGTACGAGCCGGACGACCCGGAGTTCAGGACCATCGTGCACTACAACGAAGGGCTGGTGGATACAGTGGGCAAGGACGGGCTCATTGATGTCTTCCCTCTGTTAGCAGTAAGTATGGCTTAGCCACATTGCTCTATATGACCTTATATCGCTTCCGGATGATTGGCACTAGCTATCTGCCATGATAGTTGCAGGCTTGAATCATTACGCTCTTAAGCTTCATGCTCTAAAATATCTGTCGTAGGTCGTAGGTCATGGGATTTTCAAGCAGGGTTTGACGGACCTCAACCTTCAGACTATGCTTATCTAGGAATGCACGACGGGTCTTAGCTTTACCTATGGAATTTGTCCCAAATCACAAGGGAAGGTGTTTTTGCGGTCCTAATGGTATACTTTTCAAACTTTTTAGAAACTTCCGAACGCCACGGTGAGGAAGATGAAGGAGTGCCTGGAGCTGAGGAATAAAGTCCTGTCTAAAAACATCGAAGAACATCGGGTAGGTTGACATTCCATCATGGCATTGAAAGTCTCTACTCGTCAGTAGTTCATGTCAGGATTAGTGTCTGTTCTCATACGTGTATTCTCGTAACACGATAGGAAACTTCCAGGTACATGTACCTTTAGAATTGTAACTTGCCCATCAATTACTGGGTTAACATGTCTGTACGGTCACATGCCCAATGGTGTAGTGGGTCATTAATCCTGAAGAAAGCCGTAACATAAAGACGGTCGAAAAATCATTGAGTAGGCACTGTGCTTTGACGAGGTTACTTTTGTGACAATGTTCAACATGCTAGAGAGACATTCCTACTGCCACTGTTCATCAGCTTCTGATGCCTGCGGATGATTGACAGATTATTGGGTGTTCTAACTGTTGACGTCATTGCCGTTGCTAGGCGACCTACCAGGCCGGGAAGCTGCGTGACTTGATTGACACGCTGCTGAAGGCTCAGGCTGAGGCGGTGATGGTGGGCGGACACCGGGCGCTCCGGCACCTGAGCGACGAGCACATCCTCATCACCGTTAACGACGTGTTCGGGGGAGGCATGGAGACGGCCACAACCACGATGAGATGGATCCTGCTGTTTCTTGTGCACTATCCTGAGGTGAGAATTTAATTAGCATAAATTTGCATAAAGGACCTATACAGAATCACTTTATTCCACAAGGACCTTACCACATCATACCTTAAAATGATCAGGAGACATCAAGGTATGGTTTAAATGGTACTGTTCTACGTATGTACAGGGTGGGCTACGTTTCTAAAATCTAATGCTCTTCGGGCACGGTCCTAGATACACAGTCCAAGCGTATCCAGAACCGTGCTTTATCCATATCCCTGCTCAGACACGGTTATCGATAGTCCACGCGTATCCAGAACCGTACCTGGAGCAACTTTACGTTCGTGGATATGCGGAGACAAACCAGAACCGTACCTGATCCTAACCCTAACTCATTCAGACATATGACTAGGAAGGCACAGTTCTGGATGCTGCATTCTCACGAGTTCTCACGCACATACTGCGAATCTTTCAGGTCCAGGACCGTATCCAGCGGGAGATGCAGCGGGCCCTGTGCGCGAACGACCCTGTCCGTCTGTGTGACCGGGAGCGGCTGCCGTACCTGGAGGCCACCATCAGAGAGGTGCTCCGGATGAGACCCGTGGCGCCGCTCGCCATTCCCCACAAAACCATCAGGGACACTTCGTAAGTAATCATTCAAGCAGATCTTTTCAGTTCAGTTCATCCTTCAGGTGACACCATGTGCTGTCTCCACAAGTTCCTTGGTGTCTGCAAAGACAAAATCAAATTGGCCAGGCAGTATCCATTGGCCAGTGGCGAAATGTCAACTGTCTGGCCAATGGATACTGCCTGGCCAATTTGATTCTGTTGAAGCTTGCAGCCACCAGAAGATCTGGAAACTTTACGTCATCGACACATAATAAGCGGATCTGCTCTTTTAAGTTCTTTTTAGGTTTCTTTCAAAGAAAGGGCCAAGAGAAAGAAATTTGGCACGAGGATCCAAAACCAACGCGATCAAATGTCCAAACAAACATTATGCTATTAACAAAACAAACAAAAATTATGCTCATACAAGACCTTCTGATGTCAGGCATCCTACTCTAAAGGTCCTAAATCGATAGTTAATATTGAGAAACACAATTGCTTCCAGAAGTCACAAACAACATCTTTATTTCTTGTACAGGGTCGGAGACTACGACGTTCCCCAGGGAACCCGTGTGATGTTTAACCTGTGGGCGATTCACCATGACGAGCGGCACTGGACAGACCCGGCAACTTTCAACCCTGGTCAGTCATTGTTTTCTTTTCAGGCCAATTAGCAGCTTAGCAATTGATTAAATTTATTTTTCTATTCTCAATTCTTTATGCAATTTATGATTGTCAATTTTCAACGTTTATTTGGAATAAGAACACTGTAATTGTTCCCTTTGAGTGCAAATGTTTTTACCACAGATAACGCTTGTGCACGCCGGAGTATAAGATGTCAAAAGCAGCAAACCGGTTAATTGTCTGATGCAACGATCAGTTACTGTGTAGCTTATGATTGTTAATGTCAAACGTTATAGACTATTAAAACAATTTGCCAAAAGTACATTTAGGTTCAAAACTTATGAACACATTTAATATATCCTCAGATGCAACTAAGTTGCCTGATGCGATGATGCTTCGTAATGTTGATGATGTCCATGATCTATATCTGATGATGACTGTGCTCTCCCAATGTTTTGCCCTGCACAGACCGTTTCCTGGACGGTAAGACAGGTCAGCTGGTGCGCGGCGGCGCAAATTTCCGTCTCGTAAACGGTCGTCGCCTTTCCGAACGGTCGTCGCCTTTTTTCAGAACGGTCGTCGCCTTTCGGAGCGGTCGTCGCCATTTCCGATCGACCGAACTTCAGTTCCGAATATCCGCGACATGTTCGGGACTTCCCCGAGTTCTTTGAATGTGTGAAATCACACTTCCTGAAGATAACATCGCGACCGAAGACGGGCCAGAACTTGGCTAGGTGGATTGAAGTTGCGTGGGTGCTAGTACATGTATTATAATTATAAGTTCCGGGGGTTGAATTATCTAGGTAAGAACTAGGTTAGTGTTTGAGAAATTCTCGATTGGAACGGGAAGGGTTTGGGTAACTCTGAACTCGAATGTCTCTGGGTATTTATTTTTCTTGTATGTGAACATGTCCTCTCCCTTTTTTCTTTGTTTCCTTTTGAAATGCGAATAAACATTATTTGAAAAAAAAACCTCTGAACTAGAACGTTTTTAGGTTTTCATACATTGCTGAATTTGAAACGGGGGCGAGAAATACTCCACATGCATTTTTGGAACAGCCCATTGTGCGAGCATGTAATTTATGAATGCTGCAGGATGGTCTGACTCAGAAACATTCATTCGGAAGCACCATCACACATGCAGGCATTTACTCTGACCAAGGACATTATGTCCTGACTGACTGACTCACAACTCCACCACAGCCGGGTTTTATTTTGTTGTCTCAGTGCTTGCTCAGCATAGCAGGCCATTTCACACTTGTCACCAGCATGGCATTGATGTGCTACCCAGTGAATGTGTCGTATTTACATACAGTGCAGTGGTGAATGTGTCAAGTATTAACATTCAGCAAGGTAACAAAACATAGACATTTCGGGATGAAAATAGCTTTACAAGTTTGTCAAAACTCCTGTCAAAGTAAGACATTGTCCCCCTTCTAAAACAACAGGTCCTTTATTAATCCTACATGAATTTAACATAAACGAAAGGAATACATACCACAGGGATTGAGAAATATAGCACAGGGACGGAATCTATGTTTGTTTTTGGTTGAAGCAAATGTCTCTGGTTGAAGATTCATTTGTCATTTGTATAAACGGCATTATATGAACCCTTCTTCAGTTTGTTGGCGAAGGGAAACAAGAATAGGCTGGAGAAGATCCAGGCCTAGGATCGTATGCTGATCTTATAAAATCAGCAGTTGAGGAGACAAGTTACTTTTCTGGCCCGCCTACGGTCGCCATGTTATGGACTGAGTGCGATTCACACATTCCAAGAACTCCGGGAAGTCCCGAACATGCCGCGGATATTCGGAACTGAAGTTCGGTCGCTAGGAAATGGCGACGACCGCTCCGAAAGGCGACGACCGTTCTGAGAAAAGGCGACGACCGTTCGGAAAGGCGACGACCGTTTACGAGACGGAAATTTGCCGCGGCGGCAGCTTCCTGCCGTTCCTGGCCGGCTGTCGCGGCTGTCTGGGGGAGTCCATGGCCAAGGCCGAGCTGTTCCTCTTCACGGCGCGGATCCTCAGGGACTTCCGCCTGGAGCTGCCGCACGGGGTTTCCCCGCCAAGTCTGCAGGGGCGATATGGCGTCGTCATGGCTCCGGACAGATACAGGATATGCTTCAGACCACGGGAAGAACAAATATAGATTGGCGTTAAATCGTATATTTTCGTGTACAGGACTGTATTATCATTCTTCTCTTTGTTAAAGCCTGTGGCTAAGTTGGGCAGTATTGGCTGTATGTTACATCAACCTTCAATGCATTGGTTACATCTATTGCAGCCCAATAACCAATACATGTATAAATTAATAACTATATTAAGAATATTTAATATGATGTAGCTTATTTTTTGTGAGGAAATGTATAAAGGTCGATAACTTATTGTGTAATCGCAATTGATGGGTACTATCGTTCGTATACCTAGGCCAGTACCCCACGTTTTGAACCTGTAATATTACTTTAAAACAGGTCAGATGGCATCTGTGTAGTAACTATTTGGTACTGATACAGCTCGTAACAGTGTGCACAATCGTATTTATCTGTTTACCAGTATTTATGTCTTTATCCGTATCTATTTGTAACTTATTCATGTCCAGTACTTATCCTTATTCATTGTCATTGATGATTATCCTGTGTTGATGACTATGCCTCGTTCAATAAATAGCGTCGACTTTCAATCTGCGAGTTCTGTTTCTCATTTCCGAGCCAATTTGCAGGTAAAGAATGCAGTTTAACTTACATGAAGAAAACTCATGCATCAACGCTCAGTCTAGCTGGTGGCAGGCTTCCAATGCTACTAACTATAATATTATATCGTATGGCATCTATCGGCTATACTACACGCTAAAATGCCATTGTAAGCCCTGCGGTTATTTGACCTTGATTAGAGTAAATAGAGTGACTTCCTACATCCTGTTATGACATAATCTTGAAAATGTCAGATTGACCAAACCATATTCATGATAGATGCCTGATAATAAAATTTCCATTTCTTATCAGTATTTGACAGGTAATAATCAAACTCAACTACATTGCATCTGTCAGTATCTGTTTTGACATTCTCAGGCAAAAGATCGTCGTGCAATGACGTTTCTCTTCGACCCCACTTATCATACCACTGAACGAAGATACACACAAACACATGGCCTTGAAGATTAAGTAGTGTCAGGGCCGAGTAGTGATAGTTTTGGACGGCAACAGTCAGTCACACTAACACGCTCTTTGAATGCTAAATGTAGTTTGCCATCGCCTTCCGATCTAACCCTTATTTAGGCGATTTGTTAGCGGGTGCTGTAATGTTGCCATCAGTTAGTCATCAAGGCGTATATATACCGACCAAAACCAATGTCCCCATGGATGTCATCGGTAAAACCGCTGTATCTCCTTGAATGCACAGATGGCTTACAACATTCAAACTAGGGCTGCGGACCGGTACACTGTACCGGTCCAATACCGTAAAAATCGTTTCGGTACAGGTCCAAAATACCGGATCATGAAGTAACGAGTATATACCGAAATAGCTAGTTTATACCATGTATATGACTAAAGATAGGTAAATCCTACCACAAAGACGAAAAATTAGCACTGGAAAAGACGTAAACACCGTCGATTGATTTGAGATCCTCAGTCTCACGAGACATCGCGAGAGTGTGGCTGATCCAGGGTTGTGATTGGAAGATACTGACAAGTTGTCAACACTTTATTATTGTTTGTGTCATGATTGAAAAAGTGAAGAACACGTGTTGATTTGTCAAATTGTTCAGGTACAGGTACAGGTCCGGACCTGTACCTAAACCTCTGTACCGGTACCTGTACCGGTACCTGATGTTGCGTTTAGGTACGCAGCCCTAATTCAAACCGTTGCAAAACCACAGAAGTGTACTTACAAACATCGATAGCGTTAAAGGTACTGATCATGATCTTACCATATCAACTGTACATGTAGAAACAGCAGACAGTGATCTGTAGAGTAGATTTATATATGGACGGAGAAACTGCCATTTTTGGAGTATAAGACATGTTTTATGACGAGCTAGAGGGACATGAATTACAATGTTTATCACTGAATGACGATATTCTTGGTAAAATGTTAATGTGACGTAAGCTGACGTCTTCTCTGACGCTGCCAGTCAAGCACAAATATGACTGGAATGCTGTGCACCCCTCTCGACGTATCACCTTGATTCTTATCACACCATGTTCCATCTTTAACTACGAACTTTCTGGAGGAAAGATTCAAGAATCGATACCTTGGCGAAGCTTAACATTGATTCGAAACATTATTAGCAGAGAAATGAATTTCTCTTAGCAAATTACTCTGTTTATCTTAACACGATCGTGGTTTTGGAATTAGAACTTTTGAGATGGGGCCCCGGGAATCGATACATTGCCGGGCCCTAACATTGATCCTCAAGAAATTCATGGAGATACCATGAATTTCTGAGCAAAGTCATTACGTTGCCAACAGTAAAGAATATGACGAACATTACTCTTCTTTGGGAATTAATCAGTGCAGTCTAAATTAAGGTCTAGGTTCTAACATTGTAAATGAATCGACCTATGGTGTACACAATTAAAAATCTTCCGTAGTGACACTATATAGATGGTGTGTAACGAACATATACTTTCGTCATCTTTCTCTGTCAGGTATTTGTTTATCTTGCCCATCGAACTTACATAGCAACCTTTTTAATATATTGTGCATAGTTTTGGTACCAAGAGCAGACAATATCCAAGCGAGTCAACAATGTTCTGTAGTCATATTGAATTTTTTCCATCCCAATTTTGCCTTATGTAACATCATCGAATGCCATAGGCGAAAATCCTATGGGTCTTGTGACACGTTCCCCCGGGAAAACTGTAAAATCTTGACCCTCTGAATTTTCTAATATTTTCTGCATTATAGGGACAAATTTTGCTTCTCAACAAAGATTACTTTACTGACATATTTTTTTCATAACTTTACACACCGGTTTTGTCCGTCGAAGACGACTGATTGAACGAAAAATTTGTCTGGCATGACCATCAAAAAAAGAAAGACACTGGCTAGAACACTGAAAATAATCAATTCTCCATGTACTGTGCTGTGATTTTTGGATGTTCTGCGAAGTTTGCCCTTTTCTAGCGATTTAAAGATGTCAGATATTGATGTGGTAGAGCTCGGTGTTCACCGCGGTGTGGAGTGTAATAGATAATGTGCATGGATAGCTTCGATTTCCAGCTCTGATCAGACATCGCGGCTGCCCGGCCGTGTCATTGGTCTGACTACACCAGACGTGCTACAGCTGCGGCGTCTGCACACGGCACCATTTTCTACTCTACAAGCAGAGGTTTGGGCTTCGGCATATTTTGACGTGTTTTAGGCTCGTTTATTTGGCTTTCTTTTGTGTACCGGTATATTTCTTCGTGCCAGCCCAACACACAAAAGATACTAGTACAATAAAGAACGTCCGATAAGAATGCCTAAAACACGCCAAAAATAAGCCACAGCCCACCTCTGCTTCATTTCCGCTTCACAGGTTGAATGACAGATAAAAGCATTTTCTGTTCTTTGTATGTACGTAAATTAGTGCTAGAGTTTGAGTGTCCTGTGAAATATTTTTGACAGCAAGAATATATTAAGTGTACCTCCACTTGTTCTTTGTCCTTTTATTTTGCATTAATTGATATTTGATTAAAAAATAGTGCTCCTTATGTTATTTGTTATGTCAGTTCTTGATTGAAAAGCCATTGACGATCGGATCTGTTGGCAACAGCCAGGAATTTTTAAAAGTATAAGTGATTCTTTGAAAATGTCAGTCGGTGTATAATTTGCCCACAAAGGTCCCACTCAATAACACAACTTAGGAGGCTTCAATTTCGTTCATACCTCGCCGCCTTTAATTGACTGGTAGTTGCTACACCAGCGAATTTCTGTAGATCGGCTTGATTTTTTGTCTCAGGGATGAATGCATGTATAAAGATTTGTTCAACAGCGTTACATGTTTCCTAACAGATCGAGTCAAGTGCGATGTGGCATAGCTTTGATCATTGGGTAGATACGTCGTGCTTTGGGGGATACTTGTCTTTAATGTTGCAAGTCCATAACTCTACGTCCAATCTCAATATGCAGATATGCCCTTACTCTTCTCCTTGTTTAAATCCTTACATTTAATCAAGTAGAAGTAAAAATATGGTAGGGAGTTTTTGTGGTGAAACTGTGTATTTGATTCTATGTAATATAATTTTGGAAATCCTCAAACAAGCGATTTGAGACAGAAATGCCAATGTATTTAATATCTGTAGAGGGGAAAAGAAAGCTAAACTTTTTGCCGATGTGTGAATAAAATAAAATGGAATAAAGCAAAATAAAATGAATAGTATACGGCAACAGCTGCGAAACATAAAGTTACAGAGCATCATAAATTTAGAATATACCTGCAAGCAAACTTGCCCTTAAACAATTCAATATCACGGCAATGAAAACTTGGGTAGATCTAAAGTATACAGAGACTGATCTTACGATCCTTCCGGCAAAGATGTGTCGATAACGATGAACGTCTATTGGACCATATGCCTGTGGGGTCGTCAAGGGACGCAAGATGCAACATCCAAAATAGATTCTAACGTCTGACATTTATTGTTGCTAAGGAGACATGGGAACATGCAGTTTTATTTTCAATTTAAAGGAATATCATAAAAATATGTTCTTACCTAGTGATATTATGAAATTTAGTCTATTCAGCAACACATTACGACTATGATTAGTCATACTGTGATGCTATCGCCTTCAGTGGTGATTTAATCAATGCAACCTTTTATGTAAATAATTCCGGGTAATACACGCCAGTAGCAAAGACCTCCGGTCATAAATGTGTATTTGTAAATGACATTGAGTAGCAGGAAACAACTCTATAAAGAGATGATTGGGAAATCCAGGTTTACAACTTGATAGTCTGCACAGCTGGGCAGCTTTACTGTTCTTACACAAGGTCTGTAACGAGGTGCCATAAACTTTTTACTCCGGGATAACGATGTAAAAGAATAATCCTTTTTGTCCACGTATTGTTACGGCAGTGTTATCGATCCATCCATCATTTATGCGAAAGTCTTCAGATCTCCTCCTTCACGAAGTCTCAGTTTCATCCTTTAAGAACGATGTTATAAT